TGACCCCCCCCCCCCCCAATTCACATCGGTGGAGTTACTCTGATTCGCACCCGTGCTGGAGTCGATCCGAAGTTCTACAAGCGACTTCAGATCTCTACCGCTGGAGCTTCAAATTTACCATATTTACCCAAATGCAAGGTGACTTCCAATTTAAGATGACCTCCCCCCCACACACTTAAGATTCTATACATGGCGAATTTATTAATTTGTTTATAATTTCCCATGTATAGGATCTAATTAATTATTGAATTGTCATCTTAAATTCATCACCTGCCCCCACCCCCAAAGCAGCAGCAGGGGGCAAGGGGCCATACTCCTGCCCTTTGTTCCTCTTCCCCCCATGCCCAAGCCTACTCCTCTGCCTCCTGTGCCACCCCCTGCCTCCTGATACTTACTTTTTGGGCATCAGCTCTGGCTCTGGGGCAGTCGGCAGCAGTGCCAGCCCCAGTTGCGACCCAGCCAGAAAGAAGCAGTGGTGGCAGCTCCAGGCCTGGCTGGTTTACGACTACAGCTCCAGCTCAATGTAATCAGTGAGGGGAAAAGGGGAGTAAATGGTTGAGAGGGGCAGGCTGCGCAGTCTCTCCCATGCTTCCCCCTCCCAAGTCACACCTTGCAGATCTGCCCCACGCACGCCTGGCACGCAAGCCACCACAGGCTGCGGCTCAGCTTCGGCTTTGGCTCCAAGCCTGGGGCTAATGCTACAGCTGAACTGCCACCTGCCCTGGAAGATGCTCAAATCTAAGACAAGGGACAAAGCTCTTTTTCCCAGTGGTTACTGGGGGCAGTGGAAGCTTTGTCTTGTATTCAAATAAATATGGTAATAGCTAATGATTTCCACTATCACTGGGCACTTTTACGTATGCTCCAGGGGTGCAGGGGTGGCGCTTTAATTAGAGCGGCTTCAAGAGCTGATCTAATTGACATGCCACCGCACCGTGTCTCCTGTATCAGCATCCCCATGCTTAAAAATGGTGGCGGGGGCACTTGAACTAAAGCTTGCTCAACAAGCTTTAGTTCAAGCTCCCCCATCACCATTTTTAAGCGTGGGGGTGTTGATACACGAGATGCAGGCAGCTGCTGCAGCATGGTAATTGCCACGCGCCAGCAGACTCGATTAATCGAGTCTACGCCAATGCACTGGAATTCCAGCATGTCGGAGCAGCCTCCGTGCGTGTGCATAGGTGCCTGGCGTGACGGCAACACCTGGTAGGTTGCAATATAGCTGGCACTATATGTATATATAAATATATAATAGAAATGAATGGTGGGGAGGTTGGAATAGTCCAAGATCATGGGAAGAGCACTAGGATTTAGATTTGTAGTGTCTCAATCCAGCACGCCGTCTGCCAGACGGTTTTGTTCAGACTATGAAGGAAAGCTGAAACCTCTCCGATTCTGACTGGACTAAGTTTATTGGGGTGTTGAAAGCCGCACAGATGCCTGTTACCTCACCATGAATGCTCTTGTATTTGTATCGTACTTGTTTCTCTAAGTGTGTTTGATGGAAAGACATGGCCCAAAGAAGAAAATCTTGACTCTGCAGGTATCCTAAGACTGAATAATACTATCTTTAAGGTAATTACATTCCAGTGATGTGTGACTTGCATTTCAAAGAGCTGTGAAGACATTTTGGAGAGATGCTGGGAAGGAGAGTTAGGGGGAAATCTCTTTCAACGGTTAGTAGATAGTTCATGTGTCTGCTCTACAGTGCATGTAAATTTTGTAAAAGCTGTAGATAATGAAGCTGGTTGTGCAGAGGAGAAGGCGAATAGTAGAGGTGCATGTGATGTGCATGGAGCTGGATGGGGAAAGTAATTCATTTGGTAAAAGATTTCAGTGATGTGAAATGTGGCTTTTCTTCAAGGCAGGAAATAAAACTCACATATCTGAAAAGGGGATGGCCCCAACGCCAGGGCAGATTGCATTGTAGGCCCACTCTCGTCGTGCCATCTGTGTGGGAGTGGTGTTGTGTTGTTCTTGGCTCGGAGAAAAGAATTGGGACCCTTCCCCTCTTCTAGCCAATAATGAAATGAAACAAGCAATGCTTAGAAAGGAAAAAACAAGATTCCAGTCCAGTTCTGGGCAGGTGTGGTGCCCTCGCCAACATGGAGCTTGGTCGCATATCTGCTTCCACCTGTGTACCTCCTAGCTCATTGTTTAAGACAGCTGAAAATGCCATTAAACTTGCCCTCCAATGACCAGAAGCAACAGGGCTTCCTATTAGCACTTGAAACTCGCACCTGGATAAAAGCAGAATTGCTTGGTGCCAAACCAGGCTTTTAACAATGAAGCATGAGTAAAACTAGAAGACCTAGGAGAAGCAGAGCTAAGGAAGCTACCTTTCTATATAACAGCATTTTCAAGCTAAGCAGCTTTTTAAAGTCTTTTTAATTAAGCCCAGTATTGTTCCCCCCTTTTTTCCCCTGATGTGTCTAGATTTTTAGTGAATTGTGCTTGATGGACAATGGGGTCATTTGATGCCTGCCCTCCAAAGAACAGAGGTTTGTTACACCCCACCCTTTGCCATTAAATCTCGACTGGGAGGGTCGCTCTGTACCATAACTTGGGTAACTCTATGCTTTCATTAAGTTAGGCAGCCAGGGCACCAGCAGCAGTCCAGCCAAGAAGCGGGGTGATTTAGTCCATGCTGAGCTCCATGATGCTATGGCCAGGGAGCTAGTACATGAGCTGGGTACTTTAGAAGTGGCTCAAGTAGTTCGAACCACACTGTGGTCATCTTTGACCTCCATGTAGGCATATCCCTGTTCTTAATGTTCATTCAGTCTCTGCACTTGGACTGCTAGCAGCTCAAGAGGGTTTTCTTGTGGTCTGGAAAACCAGAAACCTGGAATTGCCAAAGAGAGAGCAGAGTCCAGGAAACCCATCCAGATCATTTCCAGGACTGCCAGCCCGCACTCTTTCCAGTGCCATTTGAGATAAAAGGTTTTGCATCACATGCTCAGTCATCCCCCACCACTATTCATCTTCTCCTAAGTCAGGTCTGGGAAGAGGAAACATTTAGAACTGGCTGGCTCCTACCCTGGGGGTCTTTAAGACAAGGCTTGACAATCACCTTGCTGGGGTTGTTTGACCCCAGTACTTTTTCCTGCCATGGCAGGGGGTCGGACTTGGTGATCTGCTCAGGTCCCTTCTGACCCGACCAACTATGAAACTATGAAACCTACATACCTGCAAAACCACAATGTATACAAATAGCCAACAAACCCCACTATTCCACTTTTAATCTATCAG